TGTCCCTGTCTTCTGCATCTTGATGTGCCCTCGTGGGTAGAGCAGCGTTGCTCTAAGTCTGCCCCTTACCTGGCTGTTTCCCTTGAGACACAGAATGCGTGTTTTAACACGATGTGGCATAAAGTTCAACTTCTTTTACCCCCCATGGTTTTGTTTATAGTTTTGCATGATTTATAATTTTTTTTGTCCTTCCAGGTGGCCATGAGAGCGCTGGGGTTTGAACCTAAAAAAGAAGAGATCAAGAAAATGATAGCGGATATCGATAAGGAAGGAACAGGAAAAATCAGCTTCGGTGACTTCTTGGCAGTGATGACACAGAAAATGGTACGTGGGTTTTTAAAAGACAAAGCCCGTTTGAAAAGGGCTGAGCACCTCCCGCCTCCGGCTGGCTTTAGGGGAAGATGAAAGCACTGTTTTAATCTTAACAACAAACTACGTACCGGTTAGAATGGCAAGACGGGGACTGCCCTACCGCATTTTTCAAGGGAAGATTGAAATAATGGCGTCATCAAGAAGTTTCTTTAACAATCAGGTTTGTGTGTGCGTGTGAGAAAAGGGGAAAAACTGATTTTTATCATGGGTTAAAACCAGCTCTGGCCTGCTGAAAGCTGTCAGGCATATTGACACGTGACAGGGATGACTCTGTAGCAGTGCCCTGTATTTTCTTTTCTTGAGCTTTAAGATCCTTACACATTAATTGTCTGGGTTTTTATAATTTTATTTTGAGTGTTACCCGCAACAGAACCACTGCTCGTTTCCCTTAAACTTACTCTTACTTCTTTAAGGCTGAAAAAGATTCCACAGAGGAGATTCTCAAAGCGTTCAAACTCTTTGATGACGATGAAACCGGCAAAATCTCTTTCAAAAACCTCAAACGTGTCGCCAAAGAACTGGGGGAGAATCTCACGGATGAAGAGCTGCAGGTTCGTACCTGCTGCGTGAAACTGCCTCGGACACAAACCCTCTGCGCCCGTGGCATCGGGAGACGCTCACGGGACGTTCGTGTGTTCCTGGGTTTCATGTTTACATTTGATTAATGCTCTGGAAATAGTCACAGTCCGGATCTCCTGCTCGCTGCGGGGCTGAGCCGTCTGCTCTGCCGAGCACCAGAGCGTGAGGGAGGGGAGGCTGTCGCTGGGAGGGGGAAGGAAACCCCCTCGGGGTCAGTTTTGGGGTGCAGGCAGCAGTCTCCCAGTCCTAGGTGCTGTCCTCTGGCATCCTGGGGGGATCTTCCCACTAGGGAAATCCCTGCCCGCTCCCTCCTGGCAGAAGCTTCTGTCCAGTTGCGATTAGGAAGCGGATCCAGCGGCCCAAGGCGGGTTAAGCGCACACGGCCGCCGAGGTGGCGTCAGGAGAGTTGTGGGGTTGTGGCATTAGGGTGGTGTGAAAGGAGCAGCTCTGCTCCGAGCACTTTGTTTCTTCCAGGACAGTTCCTATAACACAACATTTTCTGTGCAGACTTTTGTATAAATACATTTATAAAAACATACCGGCGTCTGGTTTAGTAAATATTTTGTAGCGTAGCAGGTCTGACGTTGAGCTAACGCTGTCCCCTCCAATACAACTTACTAAAAAGTGGTTCTAACTCTGGATTAATAATTCTAACCCTGCTCTAATCCACATCTGATTTCCGAATGCAAATATCTTTCAGGAAATGATCGACGAGGCAGACCGAGATGGGGATGGGGAAGTGAACGAGCAAGAGTTCTTGCGGATCATGAAGAAGACCAGCCTTTACTGAAACAGAATTTCATTTATTTTTGCACATGTGTATATACACTTGGTAGGTGCCTCACTTTTTTAGCCTTTTATTTCTTTTGAGACAGCAGGAAAAAACAGGTCAATGTGGTTTTTTAAGTGGATGATCATAAACTTGTGTTTGTGAACAGTCACCACCCGCTAACCTGTTTACACGTAGCAGTGGTTGCTGGTTGTGCTCCTAAGACCTCTGCACTCTGTTTTCAGTACACAAATCACATTTTTCAGTGGCAGTATTCAGATCCTTCCCTGGCTAAAAACCACGTGTCAAATGATTATGGTTTGGTAAAGAGAGGACTCGGAACCAGGCAGTGTCAATCTCTATTTCCCAGCAGCTGAAGTTTTTGGTTTAATGTCTTGGTTTGGGCCCAGCTGTAGTGAACTCTTTATATGACATATTTGCAGGGATCAGCTTTTTATACTCTGCCTTACGGTGATTTATATATATATAAATATATATACCTCCCCCCTTTTTTAGTGGGTTCTTTGAACTGAAAAAAAAAAAAGTAAGTAAATAGAGTGCTGCAGCTTTACTTCCTGCTGCTCACACATTTAGGGAAATCTCTTTGCCAAAGAAAAGGAAGGTTAGCTGATGAAAGCGCTGTATATTTGCAGGAATATTCAGTGGCTGCAAATGCAAGATTGTATTTAAAATAAAGTGAATTGTTTTAAGCCATCGGACTTGTGGAAAGAAATACACAAAAATACAAACAAATGGGCTGGTACAGCGTGGTCTGGTGACAAAGAGTAAAACAATTCTTCCAGGCACTTGAGGGGGTTCAGCTTTTAACTGTTAATTCTTTATGTTAAATCTTAAACACTTCGCTCTAGAGGCAGCAGCCGCAGCAGGAGGTGGCTGTTTTTTGCATCCGTCTGAGGTGAGGCTTCTGAGCTCCCCTGCTCTTCTTCTGTTCTTCTAATCCCTCTGGTGCCCTCCTAGGGGTAGGGAGGGTAGGCAGATTCCTCCTTTCCAGAAATCTCCACATCTTCCTGACCCAAAAATCTGTCAATCATGGAATCAATCTGTCACGGGACGCCGGGTGGGAAGGGACCTCGGGCATCACCTGCTCCAGCCTTTCTCGGCAAAAACACGGTCTAGACAAGGCGGCCCAGCACCCTGACCAGCTGAACCTTACAAGTGCCCGACGTTGGGGAAATCTAAGCTCTTCCTTTGTGATTCTCGCAGCCTCTTGTGCCCCGTACGGTAAAATACCCCCATTGCGGAAAAATCGGTAAAATCAGATTTCTGATTTTAACTCGAAACGTACGTAGGGGAATATGTAAGGGCCAAAACCTCTTGATTATTTCACTTTCCAGCCGAGGTGAATTAATAAATGCGTGACGTGGATCATTCGTTCTCACACAACAACCCTCCCGGCGGCACCGCTGGGATTTTGGCGCCGAAGGCCTCACCACCGGGGCACCCGCAGGCCTTGTCCCGCCCCCCGCGCTGCGTCCCG